GGGGGAAAAAAAAAAAAAAAAGCAAGCAACAACCAAACCCCAACCGCGTTCAGGAGTCGCTCTTTTGGAGGAGTGATACTTGTTTTCTGAGCGGCCCCGCAGTGCCCTATCGCTCGCCCGGCTGTCCCTGGGTGGGTCGTGGGAGGCGGGACCGCCCGGAGGGCTCCGGCCCCGCGCGAGGGTTACCCCAGGCTGCTGGCACTGTGTCAAAAGCGCAAGGTGGATGAGTTCTGTAGAATTCGCCACCATCCCTCCCCCCGCCAAAGGCTCATTCTGAGAAATCTGAGAGGATTCAGAAAGGACGGTGAATGGCTCAGGAAGGTGGTTTAGTGTAGAGGAAGCTCAGGTTCTAAAAGACAGAGCTGTAGCCAGATGTGTTTTTCTGGGTAGATGCAGAATGCAAAAACTCATGCTTTGGTGCAGGTGAAAAGGCTTGCAATAAAATAAAAATAAAATGTCTTCATAGCATCCCCTTCACATCTCCTGCCCAGGCTGCGTTTTGAGTTCTGCATCACTTTTCCTGCCCTGCATGCGAACAGAGAGCTGATTATATAACCCCTCTCCATTCTCATAAGGGTGTTTATCCACAGGGGGAATAGATACAGGGGTGCGAGTATCAAGGAGCAAATATATGGAGTTGGTTAATCTGTAGACTGTTCCGGATGGTTTCTTCATATTCTCTCGTACTGGAATGCTGCCACTTCATTCATATACGAGGAGACACTTGGCCCTCTTCACTTGTCTCTGGACTACACTCTGCTTTGGATTCGGTATACAGTTCTCACGAGTTTTTCTTTGGAAAAAATTTAATCAGGCCTTCTTCAGAAGTATTCTACCTGATTCAAGAGTGAAGGTGCTTTCCACGCCTTTAGCTTTGAGCAGGTTGGCTTTAGTAATAATTTCACATCACTACCATACTGTTTGGGCAAGGGACGGTGATCAATATCAACATAGCTCCATACAGAGAGCAAGCACCTGTCCTTGCTTGTTCCCTTGATGTATGCCAGGCTGGATGTGATGGATGGCTCAGATCTTTCATTTGGACAGGGATTTTGCCTCATTAATAGCTACATGATCTAGTTCTTAGTGTGTCTTAGGTTGTTCGGGGTTTTTTTTGTGGGTTTTTTTTGTTTGTTTGTTTTTCATTTATTGTCTTCCCTTTCCTGCCAGATATTGTCTGAAAACATCCCTCTGTGCCCATTTGAATTTGCTGGTGTGTGCAGGTCAGAATGCGGCAGGACTCTTCCTTTTAGGGGCAATAGTACCCGGTGTAATGCAAGCAAATTTATGTGCTGCTATTTCTAGGGTCTGGCACTTTTGAGACTAACACTTTGAAAACTCAATTTTTTTACAAAAAGCTGCACTGTAAAGCTCCAGTCATGCAAAACCATATCCACAAAATCAATTTTCCTTCTAGGCAAATATTTCTTCAAATTTCTTGTGACAGTACATGTGTGCTCACACAATGAAGTATTTTCTATAGATGCTAGTAAATTGCCAGGTTGTAAAATATAAAGGAAAACTTCAGCTGCTTTGGTTATGCTAGTTTTCTGGCTGAAATATCAGGAAGACTAATAATTGCTTCAATTTAAATTTTTTTAAAAATGTGATTGATGGAAGTAGTCAGCATAGTAGCTTTACTCGTTAATGGGAACACGGCTCTGAAAGGTGATGGTGGAGTGTTAATAGGAGTTCTGCTCTTTGGTAGTGGCAGGGTCTTGTCTGCTGTTTTTTTTACGAAGATGAGTCTTTGCATTCAATGTATGTGGAACTTTTTCTTTAGTCAAAGTGACAAATAGATAGTGTGACCTGTACTTTGGCCCTAATCATGTATTTAGATCCCAAATAGTCCCTATTATGTGACCTAACCCTGGACTGTGGCATAAACTTATGATACAGATGCCATTTGATGTATTTGTGTGTGAAGGGTGCTCGAATATTCAAGCTTTGATGGTAACTTTTATGTGCTTTAAAAAATATTTTTAATCATTATATTCACTTTGTTTTCAAAGTACTTCTTTTAGTGATTTAGCAATGATTTTTCCTGAAAAGATTGTTTGCAGAAAGATCAAATGCAAGTCTTCAGAAGACTGTGTTCAGCAGATGTAATTGCCTGTTTTTTAAAGAAAGAACAGAAAAAAACCCCAGCTGAAATATTAAAAGAAATAATTTGACTGATTATATGAATCTCATCTTAACATCTGGTTTTATTCAAAAACTCGTGAAAGGAGTCTTGAAGGTATAAAAGTTTATCCCATCTGAGAATTACCTAATCTAAACGATGGATAGCAGTTTGTCCATTTTGTGAAACGCGGTTGGTGCCAAGCTGTAAGTAGAGAGCTTTCCCTCTGGAGTTGAATTAAGCTGCAGCTTGAGTGGGGCTGTGGGTAAAACCTTTGGGGAGAGAGTAAAATAGAAATATTTCTGTAGAATTTCCCAGGAATTAGATGTCCCACTTCTCATTAATACCTTTTCAATTTATAGGGCTATCTGTTTTAATAAGAGATAGATCAGTTTTACCATGTAAATAATTTGCCTAAGTAAAATTCTGGATAAGACACTTCTGGAAAGATGTAGTCTAATGCAGGGCATTAGTGCAAGTGTGTGCAGTTTTCTCTTTCACATTGCTTTCAAAAATAGCTTTTAAAACTATAAAAGAAGGTACTGCAAATTACATAGCTAACATCTGAAGGGCACCAGTAATTTTATCTGTTCATGGATGAACATATTCCACAACCCTGTTCAGTACATTTTCTCATGATAGTTTCTCTAAACAAGTTTAAAGATCCAATTGTCTCCTGACCTGGTCAAATTTATTCTTAGGCAAGCAGTTATTTTGATGTTACATATTGACCTTCACCAGAGTACCCATACTCCTGGGTAGCTACATGATTGCAAAGCACATGATTTCTTGTTAAGATTCAGTTCTCGAAAGACTCAATACTTCTGGGAAGGTTGCTGTCTTCCTGCAGCTGTTGCTTGTCAGCTTGAAAAGATCTTTTGCTCATGACTTTAGATATGACATTAGTCTGCTTGCAGATTTGCAGTGCCACTAGTGAATTACTATTATTGGATAAAATTAGTTGAAAAGGGTTGGTTTTTTTTTGTTTTTTTTTTTTTTTTTTTTTGTTTTGTTTTGTTTTGTTTTTTGTTTTTTTTGTTGTTGTTGTTGTTACTAAAATGTATGTGCTGCAGTTGTCACAGACTGGTGGAACTCAGGAAAGTGTGGCCACTTTATTGATGTTCTTATTTTTAAGAATAAATGTGTCTAGTAGTTAAATTATTCTCATCTAACTATGCTATGGGAGACAGAGAGAAGAATAGATATATTCTCTCCAGCCCCACTCTCCAAAACAAACCAAAACCACAAGAGGATCCCTACTTAACTGGGATTCAGAGGTAAGTTTACTGTGCACCTAAAACTCCTCTTGATACTCAGGTCTGGGAAGCTCTTCTGTCATATTTAAGCAAGACCAAGGGACCTAATTTTGTCATTGCACCGAAACACCCATTTTGTTGAATTCCCATTGCTACTTTTTCTGCACAGATCATTTCCTCTGTCATTAGGGTGTGTACCGAAAAACACATGAACTGACTGATACACTATTTTTTAATACAGAATTATATCCTACATTTACTCAAATGTAATGTATAGATCTAATTTTTTGGTGAGAATTCAAGGTAATTTTCCCAATGGAAGTTTGGAAAGAAAAAAATATTTCTCAAAAACTATTAAGATAAGAATTGTGGAAGCATGGGAAGCTCACAGGAAATTTTTTGTTGTCAAGCAGTGGAAAAGCTCATTCCTTCAATAGAAAGCAATTATTATTTTACCTTCCTGTCTTGCAGTACAGGAAGATGCCAATAAAGATTTTATCATGAACAACATGTCAAATAAAGGGATTTTGATAAACCACCACTGAGAAGGAGGAGTTTCCTAAGAGCAGTACTACTAATGTTGAAGAGATGGTGTGGTGTAAGGCAGTAGTAGTGGGAATCAGGCTTGTCACTCCTGGCTGCCAGGGCGACTACCCATGTTCCCA